TTCTTATGACTGAGTCAATTTTCTGGATTGGTATTGGTCTATTTAGAGTTTCAATTTCTTCTTGTTTCAACCTTTGGAGGTTGTGTGATGTCAGAAAATACTCCTTTTCCTTTAGGTTTTCAAGTTTATTTGCATACAGATGTTCATAGTAATCTCTGATAATCTTTTGAATTTCTTCAGGGTCAGTTGTGACTATTTCTTGAGTTTCTAATTGTGTTTATTTGGACTTTCATTCTCTTTTTTTTAAGTCAGTATGGTTAGGAGACCATCAATCTTATTTATCCTTTCAAAGAACCAGCTTTTTGTCTTATTGATTTTTTCTATGGAATTTTTGTTTTCTATATCCTGCTGTTGTGATTATTATCCTGGTGATCTGGATTCTTCTGCTGAAGTTATAATTTTGGTGATCTTGCCTTTCCAGCTACCTTAGGTGTGATGTTAGGCTATTTACTTAAGGTCTTTCTGTTTTTCTGATATGTGCATGCAATGCTATGAATTTTCCTCTTAACACTGCTTTCATGGCATCCCAGATAATTTTTTTATTTTTTTTTTGTAGAGATGATGTCGCACTATGCTGTCTAGGCTTATCTCGTACTTCAAGGCTCAAGTGATCCCTCCCACCCCCAACCTCCCAAAGTGCTGGGATGACAGATGTGAGCACCGCGTCCAGCTATGATTTGCAGTTTTATAACTAGCCTAACCTATCTCTGTGACAGAGAGAAAAGTTAAACCACAAATAGAAGCTGCTTTGAGGGCAAAGACTTTAAACCAGTGGAGTACAATGAGCTGGAGGTTCACATTACCTGTGGTACATCAAGGTCACAATGGGGAAGACTTGTCAGGGGGCCAGAACACTTGGATTCTGGAGGTCAGGATTCTATGCGTTCATTTTAACAGTAAAGACAGCTTTGCCAAGGGTCTTGGCTAAGGTTTCCTCCTGCTGGATCTGCCAAAATGTGCCTGATTTTCTTTCTTCTATCTTTCTAAGAACAATCAGTTCTTTTCTGATTAACCTAATCCTTCATTAGCTATGCAAATATATCTAATTAGATAACAGTCAAAACTTTCATAACCAGGTGGTGTTCTGTCCAAAATGACCTTACAGATGGGAACAAAGATTGTTGATTTCACTTTAAAGAATTGCACATTTCCCTTATTTGTGAGGTTTTAGAGGTAGCCTCATGGTAGTGCCCACATGTTAACAATTATAGACTCTACCCACATGACCGTAATTAATAATCTCTACCCATGTGATAGTTCAAACTTAATTTTTCTGCATTATAGTATTGGTATTTAAAAGGGTCAACACTGACTAGTCTTAGGAGTCACCAATTACGATATGAAGTGACGGGAGTTACTGAGTGGTCTGAGGCAGATATAGATTCAGGAAAAGAAGACTGGAGAAAGAAAATAGAAATTAATACAAAGTAAGAAGAAAAAAGAGGAAATAACAGCATGACCCTAGTCTCCCTTTCATTCACGGTTTTGCATTCCAGGGTTTCTGAAGGTAACCAAGGTCTGAAAATATGAAATGAAGAATTCCAGATATAAAAAATACTTAAGTTTTTAATCACACATTGTTTCGAGTTGCGTAATGCAAACTCCACCATCCTACTCTGTCTACATGATCATTCCTTTGACCAGCATACTCACACTGTCTGACTCCCCACCAGTGAGTCATTTAGTAGCCCTCTCAGTTATGAGATCAACTGTCAGTAATTGCAATGCTTCTGTTCAAACAATCATTAAGTTGACTTCATAAGGGGCCAGAGTGGGCAGTAGTGATGCTGGCAATTTGGATATACCAAAGAGATGCTGTCAAGTGCTACCTTTATGTGAAAAAGGTGAAATTTATTTACCTAATAAGGAAGAAAAAAAATCACATGTGGAGGTTGCTAAGATCTACAGCAACCACAAATCTTCTCTCAGTGAGACTGTGAGTAAGGAAAAAGAAACTAATGCTAGTTTTAGTTGTATCTCCAACTACAAAAGTTACAGCTACAGTGCTTGATAAGTGTTTAGTTAAGAAAGAAAAGGCATTAAATTTACTGTGGTAGAACAGAAACGTGTTTCAACTGATGGCAGTTGGGTTCGGTACTATCAAACTCTTCAGGTATGCTCTTCAGGCATCCATGGCGTTTCTGGAACATATCCCTGTGGATAAGGGAGAAACACTGTATGTTTTAAAGTATGTGTGTATACAATAGATGATCTTATCAAATGCTGGGTGGCCCCCAAATAACATCAGCACAACTCATTGATACGATATTGCTGAGTTTATTGCCTATTGCCATAAGGCAGAATCCACCTCTACAGAGCTTCAGCTGTGTCTAGGGGCTGGGGGACAGTTTGGTTTAAGGTGGGTATTTCAAAGTGGCACTTGATTAAGATGGGGTAAATGTCATTATATAATAGTTTAAGGTTAGTAAGAAAGAGCAGGTGAGGATTTTGAGGCAGGGGTTCAAAGAATCAGGATATAAACTATTGAAAAATTAACAGGTCTTTTTGGAAGTGTTTGTAATGAACAATAAAAACATCACTTGCCAGGACAAGAAATCTCTTGGAATTATAAAATTATGCCAATGTAGACAAGGGAATAGTAAAATCATGTTAATATAGACCATAAACTTGTGTTGGATACATGATCTCAGTTCTCAGAATAACGTGCATCCTATATAACATGTACTATATTTTATCAGCTGCAGCATTACTCAACTCCAGGGAGTACCAGCCACATTATATAGTCTATGCAAGTGATATACCTGCATTACTCAGTGAGATCGCCCTGATACATTTATACCATAACGAGCTAAATGCGCAGTGTAAGATACAGTATAATACAGTGTTTATGCTACAACCTGTACATTGTACATAACGGATAACATATATTTATGATGAAGGGCAAAACACTAGCGTGTTTATACAATTTGCAAAGTGTTGATCTGCATGTTCTGATGTTTTTTCCATAAAAATTATGAATTTTTCAGACAAGAACTGATGCATTTCAAAAGATAATTGAGAGAATTCAAGAGAGGGACATTCTTGAGGTTCCAACAACCAGCAAAATACCTGACCCATACTAGGCCATCGAGAAACATAAAATGCAGCTGAGCGCAGTGGCTCATGCCTGTACTCCCAGGATTTTGGGAGGCAGAGACGAGAGGATTGCCTGAGCTCAGGGGTTCGAGACCAGCCTAAGGAACATGGCAAGACCGCGACTCTACAATGGAAAAAAAAATTAGCTGGGCATGGTGGCGGCCGCCTGTGGTTCCAGATACTTGGAAGGCTGAGGCAGAAGAATCAAGGCTGCAGTGGTCGTAAGCGTGCCACTGCACTCCAGCCTGGGCAACAGAGTGAGACTCTGACTCAAAAAAATAAGTAAGTAAAATAAAATGCTAAATAAAACTACAACTACCACTCAAAAATCCATTAACATTTTTTTTTTCTGACAAGGAAAAAAGATAAAGTTAGTTTTTTGTTTTTTAATATGCATAATCTCATCTGGGGATGCTGAGATATCTGTGAAGAGATAGAATGCCAGTATGTCAGTATGGTGACCTTTTTTTCCCCTATAGTCATCAGCAAAATTCTTCATTTGAAAACTGGTAACAATGTACTTTCATAAATGTCTCTTCAGTTATTTATGTCTGTTATCCCAGATTCTATTAAGAATTATCAGTATAGCTATTTTAAGTAGTAACAATCCAACCCTTGTAAATCTTGCAGTTGACTCTAATCAAGAGCTCAGTTTTTCCAAAAAAAACCAACAAAAGTAAAACAAGTAAGCCAAGGAAATTGCAGCTGTGTATTTATTGTAAATGAACTAGACACTGCCTTAGCCTGATGAAGATGTAACAATGTATGAAGCATAAATGATGCAACATTTTTTTAAAAATCACAAATGAAAAAGAAAATTCATTTTCAAAAGAAAATGTTGTATCCAAATCACCTTGATCTCTGGACACCATAATGCAACTCAAAATGTTGGTTCTAAACATCCAGAATAATGTTTACTTTAAACTGAATAACAGAAAAAAAATTTCTTTCTCCAACTTAAAGATTCCTTGGCTACCATCTGTGTATCACGCCCATAAGGAAATTTTCATCACTAGACAGTAAAAAGATGGTACTTATCATATTCGTAATAGGAAAGAAATCCCCTCCTGCACATAGAGAAATGTCGAGGCTATCCAAGCAACAAATCAATTAGTGGCCCCCAACTGAATGAGGTACTCAGAATCAGCATTTTCTAGAACATTGTCTTTATTAATAAGACTTTAGCATTGTCTTTTAAGAAAATGCCTGGATTCAAGGGCACGTTAATTGGTAACAAAAGTCATTACATTCACACTGAGTAACGGTGGAGAGAGGGTTTCAGATGTTTGTCATTAGGGTTTTCTGAAACCTTCGGAGCTCCAGTCTGCTCCCTATAATGAATTTTAGCTTGTGTATAACAAACTGCCTTTGAAGAAAATTACCCTAAATAATACATCTGTGAAAACACAAGTACTGCAAAAAACAGTAATGTTAAATACTGTTTGGGAAGGCAAAAATGCTGCATCAACTTTCAGAGGCACTATCACAGAATCATCTCTGAGATGGAGAACTCCATTTGCACTTTGACAATTACCTTCCTTCCCTACACCAGCATGCTTGAATGTCCTCCAACAACCTGTATGTGAGCTGAAGAAGTACGGAGTCCAAATGCAGAATTGTGCACCAGTGTCATTCTCCTCCCTTTCCAATGGATTTCAAAAGTTTGTTCCTAAACATTTCACAGTTCTCAGAAATGTTCACATGAAAGGGGCAAGATGATTAAGAGCTTATTAGATTCTGTCAATTGGCAAAAAAAAAAAAAAATAGTATCTCAACATAGCTTATCATCTTTGGAAAGTCAATCATCATTGCATTTCCTTATACTAAATTTAAGGTAAGGATAATGAAATTAAGAGTTTTCATAATCTGTTGAGAAAATGGCAAATTCTTGCCATTTGTTGACGGTTGTCCTAAGTAAAGGGGAATCCATTCACAACCATAGGAGTCATTAAAAAAAAAAGATAGAAAGCAAATCTAGACAATTTGGGTCCTAAATTAAATGTGTAAAGTGTAATATTTTTAGCTTGAGTAACAGTGCTGGTCTAATTTGCTAGAAAATTAGCATCATTCCCTTTACCTTGAGCTGAGTAGGCTCGGCCACCATGTCCTGCTTTCTCCTTAAGTATTATAAAGTAATGCCTAATCAGACTCAAAATGCATGTAGATGCAACATGCTAGTTGGCACAAAGCAGGCAGAGAGAAAAGCCCCTCCCCACCTGAAAAACTCATAGGAGCATGACTCACAATGTCATTTTCCTCACATAGACAATGTCAGTAGATTCTAAGACAGGTACATGTAAAGTTACATACACGTTTTCACTTTTCCACCATCGAGTGAAACATGCTGTTCTTTGGAGAAAAAAATACATTCATTTTTTTCAAGTATATTTCAATATACAAAGATGCTCTAGCTTTGTTTCACTATAAAGACAAAAAGGTTTCACATGTGTCCAAGGGAGAATTTCATGTTAACTTCCCTTTGGTGTGGATTTCATAATGTTCTGACTAAAAAAATGGCTCTAAATATACATCTACTCATTTCACCTGGAAGCTTGAACTCTCTATGTCCCTTTTGTATACATGTCCATAGTAACAACAACCAAAACCAGTCTCCATATGTACAATGGCTTGGTATTGGCATGCTCTGATGAATGCGAGGCCCGCCTGCCATGACGAGGGGGGCTCAGCACCAGGGTCAGGCGGTTGCACCGGCATCAGGTCCAGCCTTGGGCCAGCAGCATGCGGGCTCTTCCTGTCAAAGCTAGGAGCACTGTCTGCTGAGATGGCACCTCGTAAATTATGGCTTATTTCCTGTCTTGGCTTTGTTGTTGGGGTTGCAGTTGAGGTCTCTGAGCAGTGACTCACAATTAGCGAGGGCATCTGCTGGCAGCAGTTTCCTGATTTGCTCCACTGTCTTTTGATAAGCCATTTTTTCTTGTTCCAGGGTCCGGATTAAAGTCTTCATTTTGGTCTCTCTGGTCAAAAGACTTTCCAGGTTTGATTCCAAGGCTTGGATTTTAGCATGAGCAACCTGTTTGGGGGAAAGAAAAATTCCTCCAAATCAAAAACCTGAAGAATCTGGCTCTTCATTATACCAGCAGCCAGGACTGACTCTATTAACCAATTATATCAAATGACTTAATAAAATATTATGTGATGCAAATACTCTGAAAACCTCCATGAAATGGAGAGTTTTAGGGTTCTCAAAAATACTATGGCACTTACATGGTTCACTTCCTCCCACTGAATACACCAATAATGCGATACTAAATTGCCCCCCCACAGCGATGGGGGTACTCACTCTCTACCCACTGGTGTTCCCCTGGGTGACTGTGATCAGGCCTGGCTAAAGGAAAAACAGGAGACTCCTGACACTGTCTGGCGTGAAAAAAGAGACTTCTTACTCTTTCACTGGAAACACAAGGTTCTCTACACATATACTTGGGATTCCATCAGTTTTTGTGGGCGTCAGGGGTGCCCAAGTAACTTGATGATGAGTACAATGAACTGGCAATGAAAAAGTCTGTAACAATCAAGAAGAATCATTATAACATAAAACAAGTGCAAACCCACCTTCCCTAATAGGGAAATGCACAGTTCATCACCCTGGAAATATCCAAGCAATAAGGGACAATATACAGTCTTTTCCTTCTTGAAAATAGACCATGTTGGGGTTTTTTTTTTTCTTTTAAATAGGAAAAGAGATAAAATCTTCAATGAGCTTGAGTCAATGTAAGATGAGGTGAAAGGAGTTCAGGGTTCCTATTCCTGAGGAGCAACCTCTTTAGAGACCCCTCATTTCTGTATCTCTCTCCCCTAGCTGGTCTTGCTGGGGACTCACCACATGGAAGTAAAGTTTTAGTGTTCTCAGTGCAGTACTAAGAAAGTAGAGAGGAGGAATAAACAGAAACCAAGGAGCCATAAGGCACTTAAGCTCTAACTCAGAAGTCAGCTTCCCCCAGAAAGGTTACCTGCTAACCTCTCTTCCCTCATCACCAAGCTCATGGCCACTGCAGACTCAACCTGCTGGGTTCAGGTGAGGTTCCACCTCAGCCATCTAAGTAGCTGGAACTACAGGCACAAGCCACTACACCCAGATAATTTATTTGTTTGTTTGTTTATTGTAGAGACGAGGTCTCACCAAGTTGCCTAGGCTGGTCTTGAACCCCTGGGCTCAGGCAATCCTCTTGCCTTTGCCTCCCCAAATGCTGGGATTACAGGCATGAGCCACTGCACCCGGCTCTTTATCACTCTTTATCCTTACCCCTCAGTGCTTGGCTACTTAGCACACATCATACAAGCTGCAAATGCAGAATATTACTTTGTAATAAATTGCTTACTGCATTTATAAGTGTGTATTTATAAATAAATATATAATATTTATAATCCCAAATAACTGTGAACTCTTTGAGGGCAGGGACTATGAGTTACATGCTTTACTCAACTTGCCTAGAAATGTCTCCTTCTCTTTCCACTTCTACTTTAGACAACTCTCATCATCCTCAGATATTTGCAAATGTCCACTCTCAGGCCTCTCTACTAATCAAGTCTTATCGAGGTTTCCAGATTGATCTGCTGATGTATGGTACAAAAACTTGGGCAGATTTTCTTCTCAACAGGATTAAAGTCCCACTGGTCAGCTTGACACTGAGAGTCACCCACAATTCTGCCTCCCTCATATAAACCCCAACTCTTCCCAACATATATCCTTTCACTGATCCAGACTAACTCTGCTGCTCTGCCATGTCATCCTTATTGATGTCATCCTCCTGCCCAGCCAAACTTAAAGTCTCTCCTCACTCATTCATTCCACAACCTTCAGATTCCAGCTCAAGCCTGAGTTCCTCATAACTTTCCCAATTTCCTATATCCAGTTCTTCCTTCCTTGACCTTAGCCAAATACGTACAACGTGCAATGGGTATTTAACTAAGTTCTGCTTTAAAAGAGTATTTAGATTGTGTGTGTGTGTGTGTGTGTGTGAGTGTGCTGTTTCTCTCCCAGGTGATATCTAAATTCATATGTCATTTGTAGCCCCCAGAGCACTTGGACACAATCTGATATGCAGGCTTTTGGTCAGCAATGGTTCATTCCACATACTTCCCTATCATTCCTGGGATAGTTCTGTGCATGTAGCAGGCATTCAAGCATTTCTTTGGTCAAATATTTATTTCTTTACCTGTAATTTTTCCAGGAGGTCCATGTTTTGTCTTTTCAGTTGGCTATTGGCCCTCTCCAGCTTCTCCAAAGGTTCACTGTCCTCACAGGTATATGAAGATTCCTGAAGCTCATCCTGCAGTACGTGATACTCCACCTCATAAGCATGTAACTGCTTAGAAATATCCATCTCAAAAACCTTCCGTGAAAGCACCATGGGTTAGGCTGGCCTTCCAAACGTATACCAAGATATGATCTGTCTATCTTGATATATTTGATATATCTTTCCAAATACTCATTAACAAAGAACATTAAAGCATACAAAAAGAAAAATAACAGGTATAACTGTCAATATAAGAACAAATTCTATATTGATTAGACTGTCAACCTAAGAACAGATAGTGTTTGTGCAATTGAAACAGTCTTGTAATGAGACCAAATCACTAGAATAAACTAATGTCCAAGGATATTTTGCAACCAAAATATTCATTATATAGTAAATGTCTTCCAAATGTAGTCTATGAGATAGACAATATTAGTTACTGAATAATTATTATCTATGTTAGAGATCATCTTTGCTGATTAGTAACCAAAATTGCATAGGGCATTACTATAATATAGAGACCAAAAACATTTGTACTTTATTTTTCAATGGAGCAGAAAGGTCTTAATAAGTGTATCCATTTGCTATTCCAAATGAGCCCCTTAGGGTTCATGCACATATTTTACTGCACAAAGAATCCTCAGAATTGCACACCCTGAGCATTGTCCAGGTCTGTAAAGTTTAATGAGGGCTGCCTTTGCTTTCTCATGTTACCACCAAATAGGAAGACAGCTCACTCTGAAGTGAGATGACAACTAACCTCCTCTTAGTCTAAACTTGCTAGTAGAAAGGAGAGGCAGCAGTTGCCATTCAAGCAGTGGTGTCTATACTAATGCTGTGAAAAGAACATGCAGAAAACCCGACTTACTTACTCTACTGAAATATTATAGACACTCAAATATTAGAATTTCAATAAAGGGACTTCTAGGCTAACTGGTCATCCCTCTCAAAAAACAATTACCTTTTCCTTACATAGTGGGTGTGGACACAATGGGCTACTACACAACCATTAAAAATGATGATAAGAGCTGCTGGGCTCGGTGGCTCAGCCTGTAATCCCGCGCCTTTGGGAGGTTGAGGTGAGCGGATTGCCTGAGCCCGTGGGTTCAAGACCCGCCTGGGCAGTGAGACCTCATCTCTACGATAAATCAAAAAATCAGCCGGGCATGGTAGCGCATGCCTATAATTCCAGCTACTTGGAAGGCTGAGGTGGAAGGATCACCGGAGCCCAGCAGGTCAAGGCTGTGGTGGCCAGGAGCGACCACTGCACTCCAGTCTGGGTGACAAAGCGAGACTCCAACTCAAAAAAAAAACGATGATAATAAGGATTCATATTTATTGGCACGGAAATATATCTAATACCCTACATCTATTTCAATTAAAAATCAGGTTGCATAACAGCATGTATGATTTCAGTTGTGTAAAACTGTAAACCTTTTTATTTGTGTATATAAGCAATGGAACATGTAATAATAAGTTTAAAAGTTACCATCTCTAGAAGTTGAGACTTGTAGTTACTTTTATTTTCTACTTTGTGCTTTTCTGCATTATTTGCATTTTTACAGTATCTATAAATAAAGCTCATCAAAGTCACTTTTAATATCAGCAGTCCATTTCATAGTTAATCAACTCTAATATCAAGTTCAAATTAGCTGCCTATAAATTCTCCCCATTAACCCTAGTATTAATATGTAAAGCCAGGCAAGTCCCCCATTAATTATAGAAAATATAAGCCAGGCATGGTAGCGCACCCTGTAGTTCTGGCTACTTGGAAGGCTGAGGCGGAAGGATCACTGGAGCCCAGTAGGTCGAGGCTGCAGTAGCAGTCAGCGTGCCACTGTACTCCAGCCTAGGTGACAGAGTGAGACTCCAACTTAAAAAAAAAAAAATTACAGGAAAGAGGTGCTATATGATTCCAAATCTCTAAAAGCACAATCTCTGACTGCTTGCCAGTCAAAAAAGATATTTCTGAAAAATTAATAAATGAACAAGCAAATATGTAAATAAAAGCTATACCTTCCTGCTTACAGAGCATTTTAACAAATAAAAACTATAGATATTTACCAAATAGCCTGCTTGTTATTTAGATTCCATGTAATGGATAGAAAATTTTATATGTGACACTACAATAAGAGTTCATATTAAAGTTTAAATTATAGTGTGCACAATATATTAACTTATTGGTTATATTTGTTCCTAAAAATAATATGAAAACATAATAGGATCTATCATTGCTATTACTATGTTTTAGAGGAAAAGTTGAGACTCAGAGAGGTTATAATTTGCCCAAAGCCACACAGCCAGTAGGTGGTAGCACACCAGAGCAAAATCACAAGTTCCCTTTTTCTTGCTCTAAACACTGTCTTCACTCTGCTCTTCCACGTGTCCCCAGGTGGCAAAGTGGTAAATCTGACCAATGCTCATAAAGCAACTGTCAAATCTACAAATCTGGTCTGGTCTTAAGCGTGTTCATTTTATCTAAACAGCATCAATATGTAACTATCACTCACCTGGTCACTATGAGAGTCAAGGACTAAATACACGGTTAGAGATCTCTCCCCTCTCCATTGGCTTCCCAGATCCATTCTCTACACTCACCCATTTTACTGTCCCCTGTGAACTGTATCCTCCACACTTCCTTTCTGGCTCACTTCTGGTTTGGTTTGGCCAATGGAAGATGTCAGCAGGAGAAAGAGGTTGGGTATTTCACCCCTGATCTTTCTCTGGCTTAGTTCACCAAGAGCATAGCAACCACCGAGACCTCTCCACTACAGTGCCAGATCTCATTGGGCCTGGTAACACTATTATATATCCTCCTCTTGTCCCTTCAGCACAAGGGGTATGAATGGCCTCCTTCTGCTCCTAGTTCCTGGGTACCTGGACATCTGTGTTGGGTTCTCTTAACCTGGCCACATCTCTGGGCAGGTAAATGGTTCCTTCATTTGACTCAAAGGGGAGAATGTTTTCTGCAGGGACCAACACGAATATATCAAGTTTTCTTATTTAAGCTTCACAAAACTTCTTAGATCAGTATTGTCCCATTTTGGTGAGGAAACAACTAGTGTTTAAAAGATTAGGGTAAGCCGGGCTCAGTGGCTCAGCCTGTAACCCCGCACCTTTGGGAGGCTGAGGTGAATGGATTGCCTGAGCCCGTGGGTTCGAGACCCATCTGGGCAACTTGGTGAGACCTCATCTCTACAATAAATCAAAAATCAGCCAGGCGTGGTAGCGCGCGCCTGTAATTCTGGCTACTCGGAAGGCTGAGGCAAAGGATCGCCGGAGCCCGGTGGGTCGAGGCTGCGGTGGCCAGGAGCAGCCACTGCACTCCAGTCTGGGCGACGGAGTGAAACTCCAACTCAAAAAAAATAAAAAATAAAAAAATAAAAGATTAGGGTGATGTGTGCAAGCCAGACAACTAAAAAAAGAGCTAGAGTAAGATATAGTAACCCAATATCTTCTAATTCCAAAACCTATGCTTTTGCCACATGATCTTCTTGTATATTTTACAACAGAATTAACTAATAACAAAGGCTAGTGGCTCTCATTTTATTCTCAGGTCTTCCTAACAATGTCAGTTCTATCTACAGTCATTGGCTGAGGATTGAAAGGATTCATGAAAAACTCATAATGTAGCACTAAACCCTGTTTTCTGTGCACAGCCGGAAAGACAGTATCACAATGTAGAAATTTCACAATAGTCTCATTACTAAATAAAATGTATCTGATCAAAGTTAAAAAAAAAACTTGAAAAAATAATGCTTGTCAAGAATAACTACATTTTTAATGCAAAAATATTTAATATATAATCAGGAGAGAAACTGCTGTATAATTCTATATCTTAGCATTTAAATCATACCTGGGTAATAATTTTTTCCATTTCAGCGGTATTCATATCAGGTAGCGTGTTTTTAAGAAATTCGACAATATTTTCGAAGTTCTCACATTCCATGATAAGTGTCTCTTGGCTGCTCAGTAGGCTGAGTGCAACCTTAAATATAACTTCAGTTCCCTGTAGAAAAATAAGATCTAAAAGAAGAAATATAATTTTCATGAACAAAAATATACATCCACTATTGTAAAAAGCATGCTCTTCGTGATAAAGGTTTTTGTTTGTTTTATACATTTGAAAAAGAAAATTGATTAAAACCATCTAGCATTTAATTTTTTAAAAAATTTAATATGATTGAAACAAATAGATGTTTGAATATCACCCTCTCTTATTAAAAATCTCAGACAGGGCCAGGGTAGAAAACGACAAATTATATATCTGTTTCTCTATCTAGTATTTATAATTTTAATGGTAAATTTAATGGAGACTAGGTAAGCCTCAAAGAGACTTATTTAACTGATATTTAGATTTTTTCTTCACAAGAACACAAAAACAAATCAACATAACCGATTAGCACTTTTCAAACTCTCACTATCCTAATAAAAAAGTAAACAAACCAGTTAATATGTAATTAAATCTATACCACAGCAGGAAATTAAAAAAAAACCTTTAAAATAAAAATCAAAACAAGAGTAAAACCTAAATCAGAAGAAAAGTTTCCCTAACTCCGAACTCTGCTTTCTTACAAATACAAACATGCAATAGTTTTGAAAAGCACCAAATACTTTTATATGAAAGTTTCTCTCAACCTATGTCATTCTTTAATCAATAATATGCAACTTGGAGTCTTAAGCAAAAGAAGAAATCGTGGAAGAATTTCCAACATGATAATTCTTACTCGTGCTTCTTTCCCTTTCCTGACAATATCTATTCTTTTCTAAGTTCACAGAAAAGGGTTGAGCAGCTATTGTATAGCCAACAGCATCATTCATATTCTCATAACCATAACAAGAAACAGACTACTGGGGACTTTTGTTTCTTGAACTCTTATATCAAGCTTCCAAGGGTAAGTCAAAGAGAGATGCCCTGAAACATAATTTTCATTTGATAGACTATTCTCCGGGAAGATACATACATACGTGTGTTTGTGTATTCCATATACATATGAATTTATAGAAGACCCATTAACAGAAACCCAAACTCCAGAGAAAATGTCACTAGAGAAAAAACAATGATGTATATTCAACAAACAAGAGAGATCTGGTGAACATTTGATTCAGGGCATCGATTTTTTACTTCTTTGTCTATAGGCTGCACTTTGTCTATAGGGTATCTTACTACCAATTCACTGTTCAACTTTTTAAACCACAGTCCCCAATAAGAAAGACACTATACATCTGTAATCTGGTACATGTATATATATTACACGTATATCCACTAACATTTCTTCAACAACAAATTTGTAATATTCCCTGATATTGTCACTGCATTTTATTTCACTGTTTTAAACGCTGGTAATGACCTACAATTGGTCCAATCCTCACAATTTGACACAAAACTCCAATTTAACAAAAGCACAGTTGTGAATGAATATTGACTGCTTTGACCACAGCTACCAGGTGGTGAAAAACAGAACATAAAAACTGAGGAAGCACTTGCTAAGGCTATTGAGGTGCTCACAGCAACATTAGAACAAACCTCTGGAGAACAGTTGGTTGTTGTTTTCTTTTCTTTTCTGGGACTGATGTGTTAAGAAACATTTTTAACGTTTGCTTTTAAAATAACAGACTTAGATGGACCTTAATAAAGACTTTTGAATAGGTTTAAGGGCCCCCAAAGGGAGTATAAACCATATCACACTCTTTTTATTCCCAGTGCCAAACACTGATTGGAGCAAGACAGCTACTCAATAACTTGCCCTGGGCCCTACTGCCTGTGCTTAGTGTTTTCCCTGAGCCACCTATTCTTAGAGACTGTCTACCATCACTGTAATGGCAGAAGAGTCACCTGAGCTATGAAACAGGAATTAAAGTTACTCTGTTAACAACAAAATATCAGATTAAGACATGTCATTAGAATCAACATTGATACTTATAGCTGTGGGTTCCTCCATTGACCCAAATAACTTGTTTCTCTGTGTTTTGAATCAAAGTAGAAGAGGATAATGGGAAAGGAGAAAAAAGAAAAGAAAAGAAAAACAGAGAGAGATTGATGCCTATAAAAGCTGGAAAATTACACCATGTCCCTAATCTGGAATAAGGGAAAAAAAGGATATTCTGATTTTTAGGCATAAATGAACATAAGCACTCCATTACAGGTACTCAATTACATCAGCCGAGCTCTTTTTCTTTCCCTTTTAGTTTTACTTAAGAGAAATATGGGTCCTTATTTTTTTAAAGCCTGAGTCTCACTGTCACCCAAGCTGGAGTGCAGTGGCATGCTCACAGCCACCAAAGACTCAACCTGCTGGGTTCAGGAGATCCTTCCACCTCAGTCTTCCAAGTAGCTGGAATTACAGGCATGCACCCCACCTCCAGCTAATTTTTTAATTTGTTGTAGAGATGAGGTCTTGCCTAGTTGCCCAGGCTGATTTTGAACCCCTAGACTCAGGTAATCCTCTCACCTCTGCCTCCCAAAGTGCTGGGATTATAGGTGTGAGCCACCGTGCTCAGCAAGACCAATGTGGTTTCAAATTACTATCAGAATATAGCCAGGCACATGTATTAAATTCCACTAGCAGTCTGCTGCTCTAGTGTTTAAAAAATTATATCTTTTATTTTCTATTTTGTGCTAAATCAAAACAATCCATTTGATTATAGGCATCTCTTACCAAAAACTCTGGCCACAAATCCTAACGAAAATTGAGAAGCAAATAATGTGAGGAACCAGGGGGCAGCATAAAGACTGGGGCTGATTTCATTTTCTTCAAGGTGATTGTAGAGATCTCTGTGATAGTCATGAAGAAGCCTGGACAGCTGGTACATTTGAATCTAAAGTTAATTTGGAAAAGAAAAATAAAATATTATGCATTTATCTGAGTGTGCATAAAATACTCTAATTTTATTACTCTAATATTTAATAACAAATTCACATATATTAAATAAGAAGTAATAGTATCACTTCATTTTTATTATTTTAAAGTTCAAGTTCACTTAACTAAAGTCATAAAGCAAGTCCCCGAAAGTCCATCTAAAACTACTGAGCAAGTTTCTCTACCATGTGTGTTTGGGTATCACATTTATACATGGAAATGGAATTTCTTCCTCATGTCAGAAGGCATTGTTTTTGGAATTTAATCAGAACTGTCCTGGCTCAAGACTCTCAGAGAAGGTCCCTTGTAATTTCAGACCAATTCCAGAAAAGCCTCCATTCTAAAGACTCTACCATGTTTAGTACAGAAGCAAAGCTTGTCACTATTTGTTGGGCCCAGCACCTACTTGTGATAGAGTCGTGGCTGAAACCCACCAGACAATATGCACTGCTAGGACAGAATGAAGCCTTAGTATGTCACAGGGCCAGAAGCTAAAAATGTTACTTCTAATATCTGAGTTATTCCAGCAGCGTATTTTTCATGATAAGGGGGATTAAGGCAAAAAGTACCCGTTTCTGAATGTTTCTAGAATTAAAAGAAGAAATTATTTCATTTGACTACTGAGTTGATTACCAGCATTTCAAAAACATCATAGAAAGAGCATACAAAAATTTTTAAACTCTTATATCTGTGATACTAAAGATAAAACAGTAGTAAAAAATAAACAAATTCATAAATTGTGTTTTAATTTAAATTTTTATTCACACAGTTAACAGACGAGTGGTGGTTCCCTAATCAGTTATATCAGTTTGGCATTTTTATGTAAAACATATATAACCTTTTATTGAATCTTGCAGAACTTCTTTCACTAGAAGAAATCATTAAAATATCACCCTCAAATAGTTAGCTCTATAAAAAGACATAAAAATAACCAATTATGCTGTGAATTCAACAACTGTTTCCAGAGCATAGCACTAAAACTCAAGAGACTCCTTTGGAAAAAAAAATCACAAACTAGTACACATAAATACAACAAAGTATTTGTTTGATCCTTATCTATAACAAATATGTCTGGAAACTAGTTTACATATAAACTGTTAAAAAAGGAATTAAATAGAACCATAGGGAGTAATAGCTATAAAATAAGAAGCTTAGCCAGAGTCAAATATAAAGGTTTAAAAAAGGTAAGAATATTATCTCCATAAGTCATGTTGGAAAAAAAAAAAAATCATACATTTCCTTCAGGCCATTTACATTTTAGAAACTAGACAAGCTGGGCAACTATCAGCAGAAGAATTAATATTTTGGTAAGCACAAAAATCAAAGAAGTCTAATTAGCATAATAAAACAACATATCATCAAAAGCATGCTGTTGTTCTGGTTCACTTGTGACTGTAACGGAGAAGTAATATTTCAACGTTTAATTTTTTAAACAGGACCTTACTCCCCCCCGCCACACACACACACCCTCAGTTAGGGGTTAAGTACATGTATCCCATCAAGGGATATTTGGACAAATAAGAATACAATTCAGGCATCCTTCAAAGGCAGCTTCAACAATTTTTTAAAAATCCTATTTGCTAAGAATAAATAATTCTTCAATTCTACTTCATCAATAACATGGCAAATCTTCAGACATAAGAGGCAGAACTGGAGGAGAAAAGATGCCAAAAGAGAGATGAGAAAGTTGGGGAGAGAAGGTAGAAAAAAGTGGAGGCCAAAGACTTCAGAGAGGATGATATAATGCTTTTACACTTACAAAAAGCAGCAGACACAAACATGATGCAATACAGACCTGTAAAGTTGAAAGAGACCTCAATCCCCTCGCTTTACAGATAAGGTAACTGAAGCAAGCAGACAGCCTGGAGTACCCAAGCTCACCAACAGTGAAGCAAGGAATCAGAAATCCAGTCTATCAAGTGAGGCCAAGCCAGAGTATTACAAGAGGCATTTAAGCATACTTCTGAAAGTGCCATTGACTAGACCCAAGACGCAAACTTCCCACTCCAGAAAGTGGAAAAGTATTGTATCTCACTTTATGAAGCCAAAAGATCTACTCTCCTAGAATAAGGTCCCCAGCACTGTGGCCTACACAAATGCTGACACCAAAGGTCTTTAAATATCTGCAGTTTCAAAATTATAGACATAAAATACTTCTTGGTATTTGCAGGTCATTATTAAATGAACGTACAAATTCAATACATGTGAATTTTTGTAATGCCAAATTGACAAGAAATTTTTAGTTTTTAAACTTCTTTTGATACTTTTATTTTAGATTTAAGAGGTACGTGTACAGGTTTCTTATTGGCAAGGTTGTGATGATAAGAAATTTTTAAATTTGAAAAATCACATTTAAAAACTGATAGCTATATCTACTTGTGAACCAAAGTCAAACATTACTTGCTAGTATTTCCTATTCTTTGAAATTCTAATGATAGTACCAAACTCTTTTGAAAATTGGAGTTATTTATTAATAATTCCTTACAAGGGTATTGATGTTTCCTATCTGATATAGGATACAAGTAAACTATTTAAAAATAAAGTAAAAAATAAAGCCTTTCATAGTCATTATTTGACTTGTTAGACTTATGAATAGTCATCAATGAGAAACCAAATCATGTGAACTTACACCAGAAAACCTAATGTTGAGAGCAAAGCCCTATATTCCTAGTTAAAATTTCACTTGAGAAAGTCAAGAAAAATGGAACACTTCCTCTCTACTCATATGCTCAAGAAAATGCCACTTACTGTAATACTCCTAAGGTAAAACCACTATCCTTTTTGCCTATGATTGGCAGCCGAAATATTAAATGCAAAAACTAATCACTGGGAGCCAGGAAAAGAGACTATCTTACAAGTATCTTTGAACAATTTTACTTTTTACCTAAAGCATAATATTACGACTAACTGGGAGTCACGTGTTCTTCATTTCAAAGGACAAGAACTCTGACAATCCTCTTTAAAGTCTTCTTTTATATTTTTACTTACTAAAAGCTTTATTGCCAGGTAGTGGCTGTTTGAGATAGACATCTATAGACAACATTTAAACTGCTGGTTAGCAACCAACCCATTTAGGGAAGTGATATTTTAACTGAAGGAGAAATGTGTAAACAGGGAGTTTGAAATAGGTTAACGGCAGTGACAGTAAAATAACTGAAAATCTTAATGGTGCTTCTTCCCAGCCTGCTTAGAAAAGCAGACTTTAAAAAAAAACACCACTGGCAGTCACATTTTTTTCCTTAGGAGGGACTTATTTATCTTATAATAAAGTAAACCAGGGGAGACACAGTAAGTTCAAGAAGAACCACGACTTGATTATCTGCTATTGATACATTCAAAGTACAAAAGGCAAAGACATTATATTTCCATATTTTAAACAAAAGGTTGATGAGCCTGTGTAACTAACAAGTTGAGAAAAAGTGAACACAGATGACTTGAGACTTTTGCCATAAAACACATGGACTTAAGGGACAAAGGTTTGGGTAGCATCATCTACCTTTCTTAAGTTACTTATTTCCTCCAGCAATGTTATGGATAAGTTATCCTGCCTATGTGTCTCATACACTTAGCAGTGTATCAAAACCCCAGATCCCACGCTAAAACAGTGAACTAACACATGCCCCTACATTTACCCAAGTTCTTAGACAATGGGCCCAAATTTCTTTAAATCTAAACTGTGACTGAGAAGAGAGTTCTGGTTAAGTCTTACACATTCCTCACCTGTAGTGACATCATGTCGGGTCTATACTGCTTGCGAAAGCCGAGATCATACATGAGGAATTTCAGCATTTCAAAGGCTTGCTCTTCACTCATGTGCAGAAGAAGGACCCCAGCCACAAAGCTGATCCCCTGACAGTAACCCACTTCTTTGTCCAGCAAAGAATAGGCTTTCAGGAGGTTAAAGAGTGACAGCTGCCCTGACCCAAGCTGTACTGAAAAGTAAGGGTGAGTAGGAAATGTCCGTCCTGCAGAGGAAAAAAAGAGATATATTTTTGAGATGTCCTGATGCCTTGGAGACCAGAGTGAAACTGCAATTCAGTGACCTCCAAGAAGCAAATACTCCTTCCCAAACCAGTGACAATTGCTTGGAGTCCCCATCTAACTAACTAAGGGTCTTTATCTCTCTCTTCCTCTTATGAAAAAATCCCAAATTCTACCTGTCAGGCTACCATCCCATCTCCACATATATGATACAGAAGCAAACATTTTATGTTAACCAACAGTTCTTTCTAGCAAAAAACAAAAAAAACCAATAAAATTTAAAAATCTACAAACAAACTAGTGACATATCCAGGAGAGAAAACAGGTGAATGGAATATAAAATGTATTAAGACTTTACGGCCGGGCATGGTGGCTCACACCTATAATCCCAGCACTTTGAGAGGCTGAGGCGGAAGGATCCCTTAAGCCAGGAGTTCGAGACCAGCCTGGGCAACATAAAGAGACCTCAACTCTACTTTACTTAAAAATAAAAATAAAATTAAAATCAAAATGTCCTGAGACTATAAAACAAGGCAAAGTCTAAATTCATAGAAAAAGCACCTTCTAAATAAAATGAGAATTCTATAAGAGGTATCACATTATTTAAAAGAAATTGTCATAGTCCATCAACAGAATTATTCCTGCGTTTGTTGTAATATGATACTGGAAAGACTTTGGGGATTGTTTTGCTTTACACTCAGTCTATCATTTAGAAAAGACTTCTTTTTCAAATATCCTTTGCTCTCTGTTTCTTAAGATACTTCCAGGAGGCACACAGACTTTTCTTTTTTCAAGATGTCCAAAAATTACAAGAAGGGTAAAAAGTCAAGCCAAATTTCAACAAATTCCCCTCTACATTTTCCCTAAGGGTATAAAATTGTCACGGAGACACTTGAGCTAGCAAAAAAATTTCACTCCTTGGCAGGGTGTGGTGGCTCATGCCTATAATCCCAGCACTTTGGGAGGCAGAGGCAAGAGGATTGCCTGAGCGCATGGGTTCAAGACCAGCCTGGACAACATGGCGAGACCTCGTTTCTATGGTAAATCAAGAAATTAGCTGGGAGTGTTGGTGCACACCTGTAGTTCCAGCTACTCGGAAGGCTTAGGTGGAAGGACCGCCTGAGCCCAGCAGGTCGAGGCTGCGGTGGCCATGAGCATGCCACTGCACTTCAGCCTGGATGACAGAGTGAGACTCCAACTCAAAAAAGAAAAAAAAAAATCTCAGTCCTGTATCACTAAGAGGCCGGCACTAAACACAGAAACAGACCCATTTTCACACCAATGTCGTAAGTACCGGTATGGGACTTTCCTTGTACCACAAAAATGAAAGGGGATGTGAATGAACTTCCTTGTGAAATGATTACCCATGCAGTTAGAACTTGCAAGAATGCCAAATTTTTAAATGTTTTCTCCGGCATATGCTTAAAGGTAATTTTCCCCACCAGGAACTGATAAGAGTTATTTTGCAGAGTCAGTAAAAAGGGAGATATGAGAAAATAGTAAAAACATGCTGAAGAAACACAGATGGCTCAAAGTAGAGTCAAATAAACAATTTTTAAAATCACTTTATTTTCTCATTTAAATTTTTTGCTAAAGAAAACTATAAATACACCGTCTATCCACAAACTGGATTCTAGCTCCATTTTTGTCTGACTAGCCTTTCCTGTAATCTGATCTCATCCTCTCCCTCTCTTTTATAGGACATTTTGACTAACCCTAATTGCATCACCAATTTATGGTCAAAGAACCACAGATCGCCTGGGGCCATAGGAACTGCCTAGTTCAATGACCCTATTTAATAGAAAGGACTGGCAATCTATGCAATGTAATTTATCCAAGACCCTTGTTGGTGGTAGAATAAAGACAAGAATTTATGCTTTCAGTTTCTCTGTAAAATCCCTTTTTTAATTCTACTGGGCTCAAAAAAATATTTAACAGAGCTGAGCCCTTTCCCAACAAAAGCTGTTTGCCATCCAAAAGGAACAGAGGTAAAAACTGGGTTTGGGCCAGTAATATTTTATAAGTACTAATATAAGATGACCCCAAACATAATATATCCCCTTACGTTCCCAAATGGGCTCAAAAAACATACCTTAGCCACCTGAAATATGTCAACTTTTAGGAGCACAGATGAAATAGTCAAATACCAATGTAAAATACTTAATCTAATACTTTAGAAATCTTAAAATACCAAATATGTTAACTTAGAGAAAAATTAGAGACAATATATTTTTAAAGTCAGGCCATTTTCACTTTCTGGAAGTTATTTGAAATTCAGCATTTAGAAAGACTAATTTATGATGCTGTCACTGGAAATTCTTCCCCAGGTAATTAGTACCCATTCCTGTATCATTAGGACAGCTAATTTTTCATTTGCACTATACATGTGTATAGTCATGATTTCCACAGTATAACCACCTATTATATTGCTTTTTAAAAGTGATATTTATTTTTTTTAATTTTTTTGAGTTGGAGTCTAACTCGGTCGCCCAGACGAGTGCAGTGGCCGCTCCTGGACACCGCAGCCTCGACCTCTGGGCTCCGGTGATCCTTCTGCCTCAGCCTTCCAAGTAGCCGGAATTACAGGCATGCGC